AGGGAGGGGGAGGGAGGGAAGAAGTGGGAGAGGAGAGAACAAGACAGGAGAGGGGAGGGGAGGGAAGGAAAAGGAAAGGAAGACAGGAAGGAAGAGAGGGATGGAGGGAGGTAGTGAAGTGAGGAGAAGAGAGGAGATGGGAGGAAAGTCCAGATAAACATAGAGGTGGGGGTAGACCCACTCAATCTTAGAGAGAAAACCATGTTGGGTTTTCTTGTTTTGCTTTGCTTTTTTTTTTGAAGCAGGGTCTCCCTGTAGCCCCAGCTGTCCTGGAACTGGAACTCACTATGTAGACCAGGCTGGCCTTGAACTCACAGAGATCTGCCTGCCTCTGCCTCCCAAGTGCTGGGACTACAGGTGTGCACCACCACGCCCGGCTGCTTTGCTTATTTTTAAGAACATATCTAATAGCTAGTACGTAAACATGTTGGTTAAGGAATGCTCATTCACAATGATAACACAAATGCGTAACATACACAGGAACCATCTCTATGACATGTATGGAAAGTTATAAGTATTTAACAATAATGAAAAATGATCCAGGCATCAGTCAGAAGCTCAGAATATGGTAGAAGGAGACTAGAACAGGAGACGCTGATCCTACAGCACTGTTTTTGAAGGATACTTGCCTAGGCTAGCTACTGCTAGGTAGCTGGGCATCAGCCATGTCTGTGCTTTGGAAAAGCTGCCAGGTGTTGTTTTAGCCTTTGCACGGATTGGGCCCTTCACTCCTTCCAATCTGTATCTTCAGACATGGGAGGCAGGTATATTCCAAAGTGACTACTGAACCTTGGAGGGTGCACTCTACAGCAATGCCCAGGTCTCTTAGAAATGCTGGAATACTAGATGTAAAGTTGATGGGACTTAATGTTGTGATTGGCTAGTGGTCAAGAATTCAGGTGCTGGCACTATGTTTTTAACCATGGTAAGAAAAAAACAAAAGTGGGCAGGGAACATGGCTCAGTTAGTAGAATGTTTGCCTAGTTTACATGAAGTTATGTCCCCAGCACCACATACGGGGTGTGGTGGTAAATGCCTGTAATCTAGGCACTCTACTTGGGAGGTAGAAGCAGAAGGATTAAGAGTCTAGGCCCATCCTCTACTATATAGCAAGCTCTAGTCCAGGCTGGGCTACATGAGGTCCCATCTCTAAACAAAATAACATGGTGAAAAATGGAAGAGGAGCCAGGCATGGTTGTGGTGGCGCACGCCTTTAATCCCAGCACTCAGGAGGCAGAGGCAGGCAGATCTCTGAGTTCAAGGCCAGCCTGGTCTGTGTAGTGAGTTATAGGCCAGCTGGGGCTACCAGGTAGACCCTGTCTCAAAAAGGGAAGGAGGGGAGAGGGAAGAAGTTCTGTGAATTACAAAAACTTTCTTCTAAAAGTTCAAGAAAAAATTAATTTCATGTAAAAATGAGAACAGGTCAAATTCCACAAAAAGTTGTAAGAATGAAAATATTCCTTCAAACCAGCATGCTAAAAGACAGACATGTCCTACAACAGACCAAAACTGCATGCTTAAAAACACGCCTTAGAACAGACCAAAACTGCAGTCTAAACTCTAAGAGACATGAAGACATGAAATATAAGACATGAAGAATACCATAAATCAGAGAAAAAGATGAAAACTCAGAAATAAGGTGCTAGCATTCAGGAAGTGGGCACCAAAGTGGAGAACTTTGAAGATGAAGGTTAGTCTGGAAAGAACATGAGCAACAAGCACAGCAGGTGATGACTTAAGACACACAGAAAGGAAAAACGAGATAATTTTTAGGGCAAAAAATAAGTGAAGGGTCATAACACTGGACACTCAACCCAGCACTTGGGAGGCTGAGGCAGGAGGTTAACAAGTTTGAGATCAGCCTGGGCTACACAACAGAACCTGTCTAAAAGGAAAGCATGGGAGGGAACGAGCAGGAGGGGGAAGGAAAGGAGCAGGGCAGAAAGGATTTATGAGCAACTTATAATTTGGAAGGCACTCAAAGAATACCTCATATGGAAACTGTATAAGTAAGTCTATGAAAGAAGAAATCCATGGGGCTCGAAAGATGGCTTAGCAGTTAAGAACAACACTGGCTGTTTTGGCAGAAGACCTGGGTTCGATTCCCAGCACCCACATGACAACTAACAACTGTCTGTAACTCCAGTTCCAGGGAATCCAACACCCTCTTCTGACCTCTGCTGGCATTGCATGACACAGGTGCACTTACACACATGCAGGCAATACATGCATACACATAAAATTAAAATAATAAAAATTTAAAAAAGAAATTCAAAGGAATAAAACCAACGATAAACAACAATTGAAGGAGTCATTACTGAAAAACATTCAAAACTATGCAAAGAAAGAGCACATTAGGTACTTTAAAACACCGGCCCAGAACGACCATATCCTTTGAGTGTGTATAAAAGAAGTGCATGTGACCTAAAAGGGAAAGAAAATTAATAATTATCAGCTTGTCAACAGCATTTTATTGTAGAAGAAAATGGGGTGATATTTAAGATAGTCAAGGGACAAATGTGAGTGAATGATCTCTAGCAATATGAATTTCAAGAGTAAAGAATCCCTTGAAATATTATCAGCAGGGAAGAATTCAAAGATTATTACTCCATGTGTCCTTCCAATAAAGTGAGTTTCATCAGCCTGAGAAACAGTGGAGAGCATTACACATGCATGCTTTTGAGTTCAAGATCACAACGAAGGTTAAAGGAGAGATAGATCCAACGGCCATGTGCTCAGGCAGTATAGGAGACAGTAGCTTTTAAAAAGAATGGAGGAGTGTATTAGTTACTTTCCTGTTGCTGTGATAGAAACACTGATCGAAGTAGCTTACAGAAGGAAGAGTTTCTTTGAGCTTACGGTTCCAGGGGAATTACAGTCCATCATGGTGGGGGACATGGTGGCAGAGGTGGCTGGAACAGGAGCAGAAAGCAGAGCACTCACATCGTCCAGCAGGCATGGGAAGCAAGAGAACAACTCGAGATCTGGCAAGGCTTAAGAACTTTCCAAGCCCACCCCCAGTGACGTGCTTCCTCCAGCATGGCCACACCTTCTAAGACCTCCCAAAACAGCACCACCAACTGGGGACAAGATGTCCAAATACTTGGAGCCTTTGGGGGACATTCTCATTCAAATCATCACAGGGAGTATGGGAGAGCATAGGAAAACATCCATTTCTTCTTAGCAGCTAGACTGCTGTTCATTCATGTTTTTATGTTGAGACTTTTCCATTGGTAACATGAGTCCATTGTATTATTTCCTGTGTCCATGAAAACCAGCTTCCTACATGTGAAAGAAAGAGGATACAGTTAAAAAAGAAAAGGCTCAATTTAAAGCAAAAAGTGCAGTGTTTCTAAGCTTCCTTGCAGTTATTCCTGAATTAAGAAACAGCCTAACTCCAGGCATTTGTTTTAAGGCCGGGAACAGACCCAGACTCTGAGAACTGGTTCCCTCAGACATGTCTCAGAACTGTGGTCCTGAACCAGGGCTTTGCTCATTCTTTATTGAAACAGTATCTCCAGCATGGACAGGGAAGTAGAAATCAGGACCCACCCTTATCTTAACAGAAAGCCTTGCCCTGTGGTCCCTAGGCCTGGAGCAACACACACAGCTAGCTACAAACAAATCTCTCAGGTCTTCTCATGTTTCCAAAGCAATCAGCAAGTTGCATTCAGGTCTTTGGCATTTTAATAGAGCACAGTAACATTCATTCACTATCTGGGTGCAGGGCAAGATGGGGTCCTGACAGATTAAGGTCAGGTGCCCATGTCACAAAAGGTGCACTTGGCCCAGTGAGCAAGTTAACATTACCTGTGTTTGTATGAAAGAAAAAAAAAAAAAAAGAGAAGCAATGACCAATTCAGTAGCGACAGGCATCTCTAACAACCTACATTCTTAGGTTGTAGTCTTGAAGTACTTTTTGCATTTTTAAAGTTATGTTTATTTGTGTGGGTCCAAGTGTGCATATGTGTGCGTTCATATGTCATGGAACACCTGTATAGGACAGAGGACAACTCATGGGAGTTGGTTCTCTCCTTCCACCATGTGGGTCCCAGGGCTGAAACTCAGGTTGTCAGGCTTGGTAGAAGACACCATAACCAGCCAAGCCATCTCACTGTCCCATGGTCATGAAATACGTTCTACTTAAAAAAATAAAGCATTTTGGAGAAAAGGCTACTTTTTGTAAGGTAGGCCTGGAAAGTCTTTTTAAACTAGGAGGCTGTCAAGCACAATTAAGATCATGTCAGGACATTCAAGAACCACTGTAAAGAGGCTCCCCCTGGCTAATGCTGAGACAACCTGGCCTTGAAGAAGGGTAACAAATGCAGCTGATTAGAACCCATCAAATCTAATTAAATATATTAATTTAAAATCATTTTCTAAAAGTCTAATTGGTTGTTTCTGGAGGAAAATATGGAACCAGTTGTCTAGAGAACTAGTAAACAGTAGGAAAGAATCAAGTACGTGCTTATCTTTCTTACCTTTTGATACAAAGAGTAGATAATTGATTGAAAATAACTGAAAAATGCTCCAACTAGTATAATAAGCAAAGAAGACATCGCAGCACTAGAATGTCACCCCTTTTACAACCCCAAAGAGAGAATGGCTCTAACTAAGGAGCATGAAGGGGCTCCTCACATTTCAAGAGACTGACAAGAAACAGGGTGTGCTTCCTAAAAACACACCATCCCATCCACCAGAACCATGGGAATGATTGTGAGGGAGCCTCAGCTTGAGCTGCCCCTTACAGCAATATGGAAAACACGGGAACAAACTGAACTATAGCACAAAGGTATGATCATCAAAATTAGGATGGTGAGAGAGACTACGGATGGAGTGCTACCAACAGGAAAGCCGTAAGGAAAGGAACGGGAAGCGAGGAGACCTGCAGCCTAAAGAAACCTATTTATTAAGGCAAGATTAAGCTGTGGCATCCTAAGGATACACCCAACAAAAGGAGTTACACCACTAAACAAAGACACACAAATATTTGTATACTAGATAACCAGTGTGCAGGTCAGCAGAGTGGTTACTTTAGCAAACAGAGAAGTTGAGGCTCAGGAAAGGGTACATAGGGTGGCTGGCAAACTTAGTCTCTCTCTCTCTCTCTCTCTGTCTCTCTCTCTCTCTCTCTGTCTCTCTCTCTCTCTCTCTTCCTCCCTCCCTCCCTCTCCCTTTCTCAATAAGGTCTCCAGCTAGCTTGGAACTCACTATGTAGACCAGGCTGGCCTCAATCTCACAGACCAGATCCACCTGCCTCTGTGTCCCCCATGCTGGCATTAAAGGTTTATACCACCATGTTCGACTAAAATTCTATTTCTTAACGGGGTATTTAGAAGGATATTCATCAAACATATGAATATATGACTATAACAAAACTACACTTATTTTTTGTAGATTTGTCTGTATTTTCTTTTACAAACATTTAAGACCCTGTTTCAAAAAGCTTAGGAAATGTATAAAGCAAATCTAGCTTCCTGAATTCTTTTTTCTTGGTAAATTCACATTCAGTCAGATAATTTATTTAGACTGAGCACATTCATGTTCCCAGACTGTTTTCAAGAACTGTTACAATTTAATCAACCAGCTAATGTTCTCTGAGTGCCTACCATGTGCAATGGCTCGGACCTCCTGGTACTTCCTTTCTTAGCCTGGTCAGCGGCATGCACTGAAAGTTCTGTGAGTTGAGGTTCTATGGACATTCCTATTGTATGAATTCGGTTATGCACTGTGTTTTCAGGAGGAGATCGTGAAGGACTTATACATCGTGTTTTCAGGGGATCATGAGGGACATCTAGTCATCCTAAAGCAGAGTGGCCCACGTTCCTGTCTCAGCCAGAGTGTCATCAGGACTCTGCTTCTGCGTCTGCATATAACTCCTCTGCGTGTTGAGAACTGACTTTCCCTGGTCTACACTCTGGTCATTCAGCATCCAGTCTCACAACTGCACCACACATCCAGATATCTAGTTCGTAAAAATGAGTGTCAGGTTTGTAACAGGAGGCAATTCCCCCAAAAGCAAAAGTGTGCTTGAGATTTTTTTGAAACAATGTGATATCATAAACACTGGGAAGCATCTTACTCCTTTTCACCAGATGAACCCAATTTCTACATCTAAAACTTAGCACATCAACTGTTTTAGAAAACTGATTATTCTTTGCTAATTTATTTTATGTGCAAAGGAACCATAAAAGTTGTAGAGCTACAAAATTCTTTTATGACCTCCAGAGCTTTTTATATCAATCAAGAGTAATAAATGATATAGATAGATGAGAACATCGGCCACATGGAAGAGGCTGTTATCAACAGATTATATACATTCATTTATGTGGTACTCACTCACCCCAAATAGAGGTGATTTCTTGTTTGACAAATAGGGGATGGAGGGGCAGAGAGGCTAAATACCTTGCCCAAGGTAGTATGTCTAGAACTCAAACCATGAGTTTGAGCTTCATAACCCAGGCTGTGCCATCACCACAGGTTACTCCACAATCACAGGTTCTCAGCATCTTAGCAAGCCTTGGAAATGTAACTGAATGTAGTCTGGCTTGTCCAACCAGCATTTTATACAGCTCCTTCTGGAGAAAGGTATAGCCAGCCTATGATCAAGTAGCATCCACTGTGTGTCCATAGTTCCAGGAGCTGTGGGCATCTCTCCATCCCATTGCTACCGCCTTCATTCTTGACACCCTCATTTCCCAGCTCCACTTTTACAGTGGCCTCCTGACTTTCCAGTCACCAGCCCTAACTGTAGATGAAGATGAGTGATCAAAACAAACACATAAAAGGGAGCCAAGGGCATTAAAGAATATACATAAGCCGGGCGTGGTGGCGCACGCCTTTAATCCCAGCACTCGGGAGGCAGAGGCAGGCAGATCTCTATGAGTTCAAGGCCAGCCTGGTCTACATAGTGAGTTCCAGGCCAGCTGGGGCTACAGGGAGACCCTGTCTCAAAAAGACCAAAAAAAAAAGAATATACATAGGCCAGCCCACACAACTTCTAAAAGCAAGGGCTGGAGAGAAAGAGGTGGAAGCAGTGGCAAAGCCAGGACTTGACAACACAGAGTAAGTCAAAAGTAGTGTCAGCATGAAGATGAAACAGAAATCTGCATTGGCAGGACCGCAGGCTTCTTGGGCCTGCCCTCAGGAGCTGAGCCCTGGAAACAAATCAGCTGTAGACAATACCCACCTGCTCTCCTCCCTAAGTCCTCCAGCTTCCCTGCGGCTTGGGTCTCCTGATCACGGAAGCTCAGCTGGCTCCTGGGCTGCCCCTTGCTAAACTGTGCCCCAGCAGGCAGTCACTGGGCAGGAAGGAGCCTCCTCACATGATTCAGCATAATCCTCCTTTGCTCCCTTCCTGAACACAACGCTGCACAGAGCACAGTGGAAATGCTCACAAAATACAGCCCAACTTGGACAAGAAGAGTCCTGATGCTCAGCATCCTCTGGATCTCTGCACACCTGCCTCTCCGAAGTGTCTCCCTGCCCCAGCGCCTCCCAAGGGCCACAGGTAGGTGGACAGTGGGGTCAGCTACCCTGATGCTGCTGCCACATCTGGACACGGGACAAGGAGGGCAAAGCTCTTCTGATTCCTTTCTGCTTTTGTTTCCTGCTGTATCTGCTCTGCTTTTTAGCACTGCAGAGGATGTTAAATATTCTCGATCCCACCAATAAGTCCTTAAAGACAGATCTGCAGTAAATTCACAGTGATCGAAGGTAGCCAAGACTGCAGTTTTAGTGTTGCAGAGTGCGTCATAAAAATATTCTTTCCACCTTGAAACTCTCTGCTACAGCACATGATTCTTTGCAGGCCTGAAATGAGAAAATGAGATTGTAAAGTTACTAGAAATTCTCATGCATCAGGGACATGGTTTCTTCCTGAGGAAGAAGTTTTAGAAATCCTTTTTAAAAACAGACATAGAGAAATGGTTTAATAATCTTCTTTTAATTCTCCCACTGTCAGCTTATTTCATCAAAGAATATTTTTCCAATCCCAGAGACTGTTTAAAGTTTCATATCATATTTAGAAATACTTCGTGTTTTCATCAATTTTTTCAAATTCAACCCAAATACTCCGGTTTTCTTTTCGTGGGCTTGAGATGTGTGACTCTGACATTCTTTGGATTTTCACCTTCTTTTCTGTACCAGGAAATAGCACCCAGTGTGCTGTTTCTCCAGCAGCAGAATTTCCAGAAGGGTTTTTCACAAAGCAGGAGAGTGCAGATGGAGGCATCATAATCTACTTCCTAATTATTCTGTACATGTTCATGGCTGTGTCTATCGTCTGTGACAAGTACTTCCTGCCCTCCCTGGAAATCATCAGCGAATGTAAGTTTCTGGGAAGTTCTGTAGCCTTCCAAAAGGCTGTCACAGAGATCTGTGTTTGGAGCAGTTCAGCAACAATTCCATCCATCTCAGTGGGTGGCAGAGCACCAACTTCTGACCTAGGGTCTTGGGTCTTAAGGAGCTAGCCAAAGCGATTTATTTCTCTTCGTAGTTGAGGCAGCAGAGCATGGCTCATGCTACTTGAAGTTTGTCTCCAGAAACTTGCAGTTTATCTGACTGAATGTTCTACTGCCTGGCTGGCTGTTCCAAGCTTTTACACCTATGCACTTGCTGTACTCCCAATACAGTGGAATTCCTAATGCTCGCTATCTTTTCTTTCAAAAGCTTTTTTTAAAAAACTTTTACTTTGAGATCACAAAAACTTCGCTGGAAAGAACTAGGTGATAAACAGATTCAGGACCTCCCTTCCCTCTATTCCCTAACTGGCATCCTGCCATTAAGAAAGTGGATATTCATGAACCAATAAATAAATAAATCCCAAGTTCTGTGTAAAGTGATCTTAGCCATCAGATAATTATAAATTCAGTTATCAAACATGAAGTCTTTTTGGTGGTTTCTGAAAATAAAATCAGCCAGTCTAGGTTCCTGAATTCTGTTCTATCTGCACTGTGCACTGCCCAGACTTCTGAGTATAGGCCTTCGTGGGTGCACCGGGTCCTATAGGCCGGGGAAAAGAGATGTTTATGCCATCAGTACAAAAGTAGCAGTGTCTCAGGTCTCTGTCTTGTACTTGGTTGGTTGAATTTGTTGAGTATGTTCATTACACAGCAAAGTCAAAGTTAAGGGCTGAGTTCCTCTGACAAGACTACACAGAACAGCGGCATCCACAACTCCATCACACACACACACATGCATGCATGCATGCACACCCAAATGGCATGAAATAAACTGTCTCATTCTCTCATCCACTACACTTCCTGAAATGTAAAGCAAGTAACTTTCTCCCTTGTTCACATAAAAAGAGCGGTATTCTTAAGACCTAGAACAGCACTTGCAATAGCAGAGGCACTACACCTCTATTTGTTTAATAAAAATAAGAATTTTATTATAACTATTATTAAGTAGATGCAATACATCCTTTTTTATATTGACATTGTATTTTGTTTTATGCATGCATTTATGTTTATGTATTTTATGTTTTATGTTTACATTGATATTTTAATATATGTTAACTTATTTTAATTTTAGCACATTGCTTTTACTTAGATTAATAAAATGCAATTACCTACCTATATTTGCATCCTCCCAGATCCCCAAACTTGCCATTTTGTGTACAGTCCTTCCTGTCATTCTTTATACTATTGCTATTACCTATCTATCTACCTACCTATCATCCATCTATCCATTTATCTATCCATCCATCCACCATCTCTCCATCCATCCATCTACCATCTATCTATCATCTACCTATCACCCATCTATCTAACCATCCATCCATCCATCCAGCTATCTATCATCTATCTATCCATCCATCCATCATCCATCTATCATCTATCTAGCAGTCATTACTTTTCCCCATATAATATTTTGTTGTACACATTTTCCCACATTACTACTCTTTGAAAACAAGATTTTTAAGGATAGCATGATAGTCCATGAGCCTATGAATAATTAGAGAACTTATACTGGATTTTATTTATATTTGTCCAGTAAAAGTTTGTTATTTTAAGCTATTGAGCTCATTGGACATTTGTGGAGCTTTTATTTTAAATAATGTTATGCCATAATAGTATAAATTCTTGATGTACCACTCTGATAGGTTTCTGATTAAGAGGCAAAGCTATGCATATTTTAAGCCTCATGATATGTGTGTGTGTGTGTGTGTGTGTGTGTGTGTGTGTGTGTATGTGTATTGAAAGCAGCATCCCACGAGGGGATTGCCAATTCAAATCTCCATGGTGTACAGCAGCATCCATTCCAGGAAATGAATGCCACTTTTAATATCTTTGTTAATTATGTTAAACTAGAATTTTATGTTAGAAAATTTGTATTTATCTCATTTATAAGGTTGAATGCTCTTTGTGATTATTGGAACATGCAACTTTACTTTTGTATTTTCTTGCCTGCATTAAATTGGGGGATATTTTTCTTTTATATTCTTTTATATTCTTATTTCTATTACATTCTTTAATTTTTAAAAGACTTTTAAAAT